CAGGCGGGAGGTGGTGTCGCCAGGCTCAGCCACAGCTGCGACCTCGGGGAAGTCACTTCCCTTTTGAGCAGCGGCTGTCCTGGCAGCAGATGCAGGGTTTCCACCCCCCCGCCCCCTCCCCGCGCTAGCGCCCCTTCCGTGGTGAGAGATGAGCGCCCTGCACCCACCGCGCTACTGCACCTTCATCTGCGGTGACTCCCAGCCGCTGGACAGAATGTGCGTAGAGAGAGGGCTGTGCTGCTGATGCAAAGGCTTGCTACCGCCAGGCCAGGGGCTGTGGCCTCCACATCAGGAAGTCCTGGAGGGAAAGTCAGGGACATCACGGCCCCTTCCCGTGGGACAGCGGCAAAGAGGCAGGCCTGTTGGGTCCTGTCCCCCTTCTGAGGGCACCGCCATCCTCACACCAGAACTTCCCTTCCTCTCCTCACCGGGGCCTCATTCCTTCCTCGCAGCCCACCCCCATCCATGTGGGTGGGTGTACTCAGCGTCTAAACCCCTCTGTCTGCAGCCCAGCCAGACTGCCTACCCCTCCCTGGGCGGAGGCAGGCGGGGCCCCTGATATCTCTCTCCACAGAGGTTCCCGCTGGCCACCACCCCCAGGATGGCTTCCGCCTCCGGCCCCCCTGCTTTCAGGCTGGAGACCTATGATGGAGGCCGGGAAGATGGAGCTGATGTGGACACAGGACAGCGGGGCCTTGGGGATGTGCTGCCTCCCATGGAGTCACCCTATGTGGGCGAGGACCAGAACTTCTCCCCTCAGATCAAAGTGAACCTTAACTACCGAAAGGGAGCAGGTGCCAGGTAAGGCAGCAAATGGGGGTGCAGCTCGGGGTCCCTCACTTCCAGCCTAGCACTCAGTGCCCCTTCCCCACAGCCTGCGGGGTCCTCAGTCTGACTGTGACAGCTCCTGGCCCCGACAGGCTGACCTCTGCTCTGCTCTCTGGGATGGCCCCTTCCAGAACCTTCTCTATTCTTGGCCTTCAGCCTTCTGAGGTCATGTTCTTCTTCAAAGGGACATACTCTTCCAGCTCCAAGTGCTCAACTGACCCTTGCACCCCCCAGTTTATGCCTGGCCCCCACCCTGTCATGGTCCCTCTGATGGACGATAGCAGGGTCCACACGGCAGTCCAAGGAGAGAGTCAGAGATGATTCTGCACCAAGGCTGAGCCTGTCGACCAAGGGGTGTGGACTCAGATTGTGGACGGCGGGCTTCTGCTGGGAGCACCTTCACTTTGAGTTTCCTGTGATCTGTATCAGTTCAGACTGTATGAGACCCCTCCTGCCGGGAGTGACTCTTCTAGCCCTGTGGTGGTGGTGGTGGTGGTGGTGGTGGGGGAGAACCAGTGTGAGGTCTGACATACAAGGTCTGACCAGGAGACTCTCTGTGGTCCAGGTGGGACTCTGCCAGGGAAGGCCCCTCCTTCTTCCTCATGCCTGGGACGCGCTCTCCGGCCTTGCCTCCCAGCCCAGAGCCACCATGCTGCCTGTGCTGGAGGCCCACAATCAGATGCAGACCCAGACAGGAGAGGCTGCGCACGAGGCTGTTGAGGGCTGGGCAGCCAGCCCGACAGGCAGAATGGGCCCCGAGATGCCCTTTGGTATCTCAATCTGTGCCTCTGAGGGGCTTCCTACCCTAAGATTGTGATGTCACCCTGAGAAAGGAAGTACTTTGTCCAAATAGACACTTCCCCTGTCTAGGCTCCCCGCAGGGCTCCCTAGTCAGTTGCAGAGCTCTTGGTCATGTTGTGGCCACGTGGGCTGCGGGCAGATGATGGTGTGTCTGGCCAGACGAGGCAGAAGTGCAGCTTCCTGGGTGGAGGAGGCGGGTCTGGCCCTCTCAGTCATGTGGATATGACTTAAAACACAACTGATCCCAACAATCCCCTCACTCATCAGTCGCCAGCCATCACTTGGTTGGCCCATCCTATGGGAGTTGTGAAGCCAGGACCTGAGGGTCCCCAAAGTGTAATAGTCCCTTTGTCTGTCCCTTCACATCTGCTGGTCATGGTGCCAGGGCCCCAAGGATAAGCTTGTCTCTGTGAATAGTGACGAGTCCAGGAGGGGCACTCCTTCCCTTTCCTGTCACCAGACACTGCGAGATTCTGAAGATTATAAGGCCCTTCTGGGGCCTTTCCCGGAAGTGTGGCTTCTCAGCAAGACTCCAGTGAGCATCTGCTCGGCTTCGGTGCTGGGCCCACGTGTCTCTGAGAAGCCGCTGTCTGCCAGCCTAGAATCTCTCTGGGGCTGTGAGTCAGGGGCTGGAGTTGGTTAGACAGGCCCCGGGGGAGCCCTGGGTTCTGCATCATGTGACTGGGGAAGTTACTGTATTGCCTTGTTTGTCTAAAAGAGAAAGTAGTGATTCCTGACCCCCAGGCTGAAGTGAGTGCAGATACTGCATTACTTGTCCAAACATGGTTTCTGAGAGGAGGAGGGACTTCCCTCGATCCCTTTGTCAAGGCCAGCGAGGCACACAGCCCTGATGGTCAGCGGGCACCTCCTGCAGCCCTGCCCTGACCTGACTCTAGCTCAGGGGCCACGACAAGTCCCTATGCTGAGACCCACCCTGTGGGATAGTGAGCCTGTTGAGAGATCATCCAGGCACCTTGCAAATGACAAGGACCAATGCTGGGGAGTAGCTGTGATGCCTGGAGCCACAGACATGGGTCCTGTCCCCCCCTCTCCAGGCAGCCCCCACCCCGCTCCTGGGCTCTGGGTCCGGGGTCTCCTGGTTTGCTCTGGGAAGGAGGCTCTCATGGGTTACCGGCATGAAGTGCTCACAGGGCTTCCTGAAAGGGCTCCCAGGGATGAGTGCTTTCTGGGGGGCGTGGGGGGTGTGGCTCTTTCACAGCATCAGTAACAAGCCACATTCCTGCAGCCAGCTGGACCTAAACCGCTTTGACCGTGACCGGCTCTTCAGCGCGGCTGCCCGGGGTGTCCCCCAGGACCTGGCGGGGCTACTGGAGTACCTGCGCGCTACCAGCAAGTACCTCACCGACTCGGAGTACACAGGTAGGCCTGCCCTTCGCAGAGCCCGTGTCCTTGGCTGTGCTGGGACTGCGCTGGCTGGTGGGTCTTGACCATGGTCAGGAGAAGACAAGGGGTGGGGGTTTCCTTTTCCTTTTTTTTTTAAAGGGGAGTGTTCTTAGCAGCAGACCCTCCTGCCGGAATGGCTGCAGGGGGCCCTGCTGACAGAGCCAAGGACTCCACTTACCTCCCACCACCTCACTGGCACCCGGCCGCATGGGTACTTGTAGACATCCTCAATGCTTCCTTTTTCTCTTTCTTCCTCTTTCTTTCTTTCTTTCTTTCTTTCTTTCTTTCTTTCTTTCTTTCTTTCTTTCT